CCCTTAAATTTGCACTGAAATTAGCTTCTTATAATCATATTAGGTTCCCTATTAAGAACAGTGGGATGACTTGTGCACAGAGATGTCCAGACATCTCTGATGACTGGGGGCCATGTGTTACAACATCAAGTTATTAATAATTTAGTTTTATATCAAAGCTGTGGAACTAATGTGTTATTTGAAAAAAACATTCTGAACTTCTCTCAAATCCCAGAGGCAGATCTTAATTCAATTTCTTTGCTGTCCCAGTTTTCAAAGGGTACAAGTGCAAAATTAGTGATGTTGCTTCAAATGAAAACAGCAGCCAAGACACTTCAAACAGAGTTGGGCACCTTCATATTACAATTTTCCCCATGTTTATTCAAGCATATAAGATATACTTTAAAAGGGAAGATAATTATCATTTAGAATTGAGAGCTGACCTTTTTCTTTGTTGATTTACTAAGCCTCAAAACTGAGTTATGTTTGTATCTCTCTTAGGCTGTTTGTTCTGCTGCTATTTTCTTCAGAATTGCTGAAATTAGAGCAATTGCTAATCAGGTTCTTTGGGCATTAAAGGTTAAAACCTGGTATCTCAAGTGATTAGCCTCAGTTGCCATGTATTTTCACTGGAATTTTATATATGTATATTTATAAACCTCTTCAGCCTCACTAACATCAGAGAGGTTACACAAGCACGCAGCACTACCTCCTCAGAGGTCCTTATGTTTTTTTATCTCAATGTCTTCTAACGTTAAAGCGTTTTTTTGGGGGGGGATGAAATGTTCTGAAAACAGATCTGAAATGATGGTTTATGGCAGGAGAATTTTTATTTTTCCAGCCAAACTTGGCTAAAAGAAGTTAGCTCACTTTTATGTAACAGCAAATCAATGAGGGTTGCAGTTATACTAATGCAGTATTATTTAATGGAGTGCATTCCAACAAAAAAGGAGAGCTGACTGAATTAGCTGTAAGCCAGCACCAGCTGAACATCACATTAAAAGCTGTGTAAACTCATGTGCTCAAAAAATGGCCTTGTAGAGAGAAATCAGGCAAAACATCCCCTAAACCACATTCACTTGGAAACTCTGACATTTTCAGTGTGGATTTGGTCTCAATGATCTTAATGGCCTTTCCCAACCTGAATGATTCCATGGTAAGTACAATTAGTGCAGCGAGTGTCTGTTCTGTGGGGGGAAAGCAAATTAGTACTGGCTATTCTGGTCTTCATTCAATCTTTAATGTCTTGTTTCTCTCAGCTGTGAAAAGAAAAACAGCCATAATCACGTTTCCAGCCAACACTCTGCTGACCCATGATACAGGAAAAATGCAGAGGATTAGGAACGCTTTCCCTGGTTGCTCAGGCAACAGAAAGACATGGGAATATGAAATGTTATTACCATCCTTTGTACAGAATCTCACTAGAGTTCTCAGACATGTTTATAATTTTCTATTTTTTTTGTAATTTTCTAGTTTTCCTTCTTTCCCATTATCACATACTTAAAACATGAACATTATTTGTTTAGTCTGCTACCTAGAATGTGAAAATGTTAAACTGGAAAACATTTCATATGTCTTTTTCCTACATAAATAAAATACGTCATTTTCTAAGAGGCTGTGGAAATTTTCAAAATTATGCACTGAAAGGTTTCTAGGTGGTATCCAAAACACAACTACCACTATCTCCCTTTAAAAATCCTCTAGTTTTGTGGCATCTCTCAAGAAAATAAAATGATCATTCCTTCATCTGCTTTTCTTTCCCACTTACATGTGCCATTACCTAACAAATAGGCCCCATAAAGTTGCAACTTCACAGACCTAATTAACTGTCAAAATAAACTTACAGAGAAAGATTGTTTCTGAAGGCTTTATTTTCCAAATTAAAAAGAGATGCTTGGAAGTCAGAAATGAATGTAAGACTAGCAAGTAAATAGTATTTGAAGTTAGACATCTGTATGTAATCTGAGACAGGTACAAAAATTCCATCCATATATCTGTGTAAATTTTTATCATACAAACAGAAAATATATTTTTGGCTGGTTTGATTTGTGGAATTTTGGACCACTTAATGGCTGAGGAATCTTTATCACTCGGTTTTGTATTTTTAAGTATGTAAACTATACCTGCAATGAAAGGAATGTCCATGAATTATGTGTCAGTGTGAGTCATCCACCAGGCACTGCCTGCACCTCTGCATGAGGTAATTTCTCCTTTGACTCACAGTGTCTGTCAGGGTCACACACCCCCTCTCAGTTCTGGTGCTGATTTTGAAGGATTCCAGCCTTGGCCTGAGTCACTGGCTCTGTCAAGCAGGTGTCCTTCAAACTCCTTTCAGGAAATGTCAGTAAGATTTCCTCCCACCTCTCCCTTCTGGTAGCTCATTTGTTCATTGAAACAGGTCTTCAGATGCCATGGGAGCATTGGGATGGTTGGTCTATACAGATACTCTTTCCACTACCAACCTGCTACATTTTCTACTGTCTGTTTTGAGTTCTGGGATGATACATACCACAAAAACCAAAGACACATACACCTCCAGGGTTCCTGGGCTTACAGAGCACCTGGTCCCCATGTTTGTTGGGGTATTGGGTAATCCTTTTGCACAGTGTTCTGTCACTGTATGGGGTTGGTGGGCGAATGAATGAAACCAGAGGATGGAGCCCACACAGCAGCTGTTGGGATTGCTCTTGCAATTTCAGAGCACTCAGGGTAAGTATAAACCTACTGAGAAACCCAGAAACCCAATCCCTGAAACTGGATGTATACTCAGCAGAAAGAATGATGCTGAAGAACCTTTATGTGCTATCCCTAAAACAAGTGAGACTGATGTTTGCAAAATCTATGTACCCTACTCAGTTATGCTCACAACTGTTCTTCTCACACCTGTTTGTATTACATGTCCCCAGTGCCTCTTCATGGTTGTCCTCTGCTCAGACAGACGATTCCCAAGGGGCGTTTTAAATTATTCTTTAAAACCATCCAAGTCCCTTTTCAACAACCAGCAGACTGCTCAGTACATTCCTTTATTGTGAAGATGTTTTCTCCCTCAACTCCCTCAGCTGAGACAGAAAACTTCATGTCTCCCTATCCCCTTGTGAAGGAGGGCAAGATGATTAACAAATACCCTGCATTCCCATTTACAGTGGTTCATGATCTCTGTCTGTATGGGACCTTTGCCTTAACAGATAACTTTGACTTTAGCAATGACTTTCTGAAAGAAAGCTCTCTAAAGGTCTCCATAGATGTACTCAAATTTGTCTACAAGACCGAGCTTTTTAGACTTACCTGCCTCTCCATGTCCAGGGTTTCATATCGTCAGGAGGGCAGCCTGCTCCACCCACAGCCCTGAAACATCTCCCTGTTCACTCACCAACCTTAACCCTAACCCTAACCAACACCTGGACAGTGACCCTGCACTGCAAAGCACCAAGCCTCATTTTACCCTGGCACAGGCAGTTCTGAACATCTGCAGCTCTCCAAGATGTTAATGGCAGCTGGAGAGAGCTTCTCTCCAGCCTCTGCTTGAGATTATGCACGTGGCAGCCAGGTCAGGTTCAAAAGGACAGTGTACCAGCTGCAGTTTGACAGATGCAGCTAAAACTCCCTTCTGCCTTAGCAAGAGGAAAAGATGAAGCCTAAATCTCATCAAGCTGTGTTTTTCAGGACAAAGTCAACAGAACATTACTGCATATCCCCCAGCCTAGCTCTTTACAAGCGTGCTGCTTAAGAAAACTGAATTTCCAGGGAATTGAGGACACATGACAACAGTTCTATGCTCACTGTCCCTATCTAGGAGTGAAGCGAAGGGCTTTTACATGACCCAGACAGATACCAAAAGAAACCTCAACTTATCATCATGAACCATCTGCACAGCTACAGCAAGCAAACATCAACACCATCCTATCAAAAAGCTGCAGTCACTGCAGGGTCATCCCCAGTGCTGCATGCCATGAGCTGCAACAGGGAGGCAGCCAAGCAACATGACATCATTGTGTCCAGTTCCCAGTGGAGAGATCAGAAAATTCTGGAAATGTTGCAGTTTTCCCTTACTTGTGGGCTGCAAAACTGACCATTACTTAAGAAGAAAATTAGAGAGTACTGAAAACAGCCTGGCTAAACCAAACCAAAATAAGTCAACAGCTACAGAAGAGGTGGGGAGTTGAGAACCATTGTATGTATTACAGAGGTCAAATATCTTCTCAATACCTTTCTCTAGTCCTGGGGACTCTGAGCTCTGATACAGAGTAGGCACTTGGCTCTTGGCACATGTCCCTTGGGATGGACTTTGGAATGATTGGCTGAACCTGCCTGATCACCATAGGTGTTGCACTCCAAAGGTGTTATCACAATGAGCAGCTGCACCTGCACTGTCAAGTGACTGTATTGATAAGCCACTGATCTGCAGATACTTCAGTTTCAGCAGAGGCTGGAAAACTTCCTGCAGATCCATGCTCAAACTAATTTCTTTTGTGCAGCTGCTTGAGTCTCCCAGTCTGTCACTCTGGGAAGCGGCCTTGAATTCCCAGGCTGTGTTTGCTGCCAGCAGTGAGGAAGAGACAGCACAGATCAAATCCCAGGAAATTAAATAAGCAGGGGAAAAGTTAAAAAAAAGAGGCAGTAGCTCTTTGGAGGGGAAGCATCTGAGCAGAATTGTGTGTATAGGATGAGAAGGTAAGTTTGTAGCTGCTCTGAACACAGGCTGATCCCCTGGTGCCCTGGAGCTGACACCATCCCAGCAGCCTTGCTCTGCTGGGTGCTCTGTGACTGCCCAGGGAAGCAGGACACAGCCAGAATGAGACTGGTTAAGGTTTTGCTATGCTGACATTCAGTATTTCTGATCCTTTTGCTTAGGACTCACTTCCCAGTCAATTTTACCTTTTCCTTTGCCTCATCCATAATTAATGTACTAAGCCCTGTGCTTGAAAAGACTAATGAGAAAGAATGAAACCCCTCCTCTTACAAGTGGAGAAATACAGGGGGAAAAAACAAAAACCAACCACCAGGTAAAATTCTCCCACTTAAAGTTTCAACAAGAATATATTTGTCTTTTACTTTGGAAACTGTCTGAGGTGCTTCCCCTTTAGTAGAACAAAGTCCAATGCCCACGGCACGGTGTCATCCTTACGTTGGCACATGAAGAGAGGTCCCACAGGCCAAAAGTTGGCCACCAGCAATGCAATGTGGAATGAATTTGGTGTCATCAAGGAGAACTGAGTCCCAGTTACAGCTGCACCCATCACTATAATGACATCCCACTTGTCTTCTTTGAATCCTTCCGTGCAATGGGACTGAAGGTCAAGATCTCCTTGTAAATGTGCTCTTGAAAAACAGAACAAAATAACCATGAATGTATGATTTTAGAGGACACAAAAGTTGGAGTGTTGGATGTGCAAAAAAAGGCATTCAGTAGCAGCTGAAAGAGACAAAGGAGAGAGAGATAAAAAAAGTCTGCCTGAAGAGCTGGAGGGATCTTTGCCGAATGCATAAAAGCAAGAGATCTGTGCACTACCATTGAGGCATCAGCAGACAATCACAGCCTTAGCATCTGTACAGGAAAGAAAGAGGGGTAGGAAAGTCCCATGCTAGACAGGAACCTCAAAGAAAATAAACTTACTTTTCCACTCCTCTATTGAAAGCTTTTCATGTTCCAGAGAATCATCATAGGAATGTTGTGCCTCTGTCTCCTCCTCGATGTCTCGGAACTGGTCGAAGTACGGGTGAGCCAAGGCCTCTGTGGCTGTGAGGCGCTTTTCCACATCCAGCTGCAACATCTTGTCAAGCAGGTCCACAGCTGTAGAGGATGGGAACAGGGCTAAGCAAGGTGCAGGGGAGCACCCTGTGCATGAACCCTGCAAGGTATTTCCAGTGTTTCATCTCCAGACCTGAACACTGACAAGATTCCTCAACCCAGCCAAGGCAGCAAGGAGCTTCCGTCAGTGGAGATGCAAAGTCTGCCCAACAGCAGCCTCAGGGAGCTCTTACTAACAAGAAGTTAAATTGTGCAGAAATAACAAATTAGACTTGCTGCGCAGATTGGGTTGCAGAAACACGAGGAGTAAGCCAGCAGCCTCAAGATATTTTTCAGTTTTAATCATTTTCTTTAATTCAGAGCCCTGCATCTCAAAGGAGTCTTAACATGGGTAATCTATATAGAAGAACTATACATCCCTGGTAAAGAGGAGGACGGAAAACTCAGCTGCTGACTAGTCTGCCAGCCCCATTCCCACTTGGTTTTAACATTTTAAGACTTTCTTCCATTCAGTTTCTAGAAGAGTTCTGCTTGCTCTCACCTCTAACCGACCTGAGAAGAGAGCTCTTTTAAGAGATTCTTACCCTGAAAATTTCACATCAGCTGTCTGTTAATTATTGCTAGATCCAGGTATTCAAAAAAGGGGATCTACACTGTACTTAAAAATAATAATTTTAAAAAAAGTAGTAAATGGCCAAGAGCAGCAGAACATCGTCATTGTAATGCAAATAAAAGACAATTCTGCTTTTAATTGATACATATTTTCCCTAAGGAAGGGCAGGGGCACAAACTGCAGGGGGAAAAAGTAGCAAGAAATTAGGAGAAGTAAAGTTGGGCTGTGGCAGTCAGCTTGCCTCCTTTCCAGCTGTGAAAACTCATGAGAAATGCTGAAGATAACTTACCCTGATGATTTGCTTTAGGGAAAAGCACAGACAAATCCTTCTTGGGGATTTTAGGAAGGGACTTGATGTAACTCTTTGCCTGAAAGAGCAAGGAGAGCACAGTTATTGCAGGTGAACAGGTGTGAAATGCAGCTCTCAGTCTCATGGCTCCGATGAGCAAAGGCAAATGAAGAGCAAAGCATCCCAGATGTCCCATTTCAGCAAGCAGTTTACAAGGAACTATTTTTATCGGTCAAGACAGAGAAATACTGTTTTAAGAGCCAAGCTGGAGAACAGAGAAGGTTTGCTGGGGCATCAGCACCTCCCATGGGAGTCCTAACACAGCAGCTCCCAGCACAGCACCAGGTCCATCAGATATGCCACCAGCACAGAGAAATGATTTCCTAGCCCAGGGCAAAAGGCTGCTGCTGCCCTTCCCTGCTGCTGTAGAGGCAGCACCTCTCCCATGCCAAACACAAGTCAACCTCTTCCCCTGACACCTCTGCCAGCAGGACAGGACCCAAATCCACAGGGAACTTCCTTACTGCTTTGTCCTCCAGCTTCTCCAAGAAGTCCTCTCCTGGGTGCCCTGTTACTTTCAGGATCTGGGTCAGCTGATCCAGGTCTGGCAAGCTGTGTTAAGATCACCCCTTGAGGAGCAAACCCTGGACACCCCCACCACAGCTCAGCCTGCCAGAGTACAATTAGCTTATGATACAAACCCACCAAAGTCACACAAGTAGAGATTCATTATACTGGCAAAAAGGGCTCCAAGCCTTTCTTCCTGGCATGGAAGCCAGGACACACATCCATGGGCTTGGAAGGATACGCAAAGCTTTGGGAATGGAGCTATGGCCACACAGGGTTGAACAGCTGATGAAGAACCAGACCACCACAAAGGTGCATTTCTGAGGTCTCCTGTTTTCCTCCCCAGAAAGACTGGTCCTTGTGATTACCTCCTGATAAACCAGACTGACACCTATTTTTCTCAGTAGCCTCATTCGTTCAAACCCTTCCACACACACCAAGCATTATTACTCTGCTCAGGAAAAAGGTTCAGCTTGAAAGGATACAGTCTCTTCCTTTAAAGAGTGTTTTCCCAGTCAGCATTTCTGCCATGATACAGCCAATAGACCAGATATCCACTGTTCAGAGAGAAAAAGAAGGGAGGGAGGAAAAGGAAAAAAAAATTAAAAAAAATAATTAAGAAGGCAGCAGTGGTTACTGGGGCTGTCGCTTTTGCTGTTGCTTGTAGCAAACGCTGATTTAAATTTCACTTATGAGCCCTCCCACCCTCCTTTGTTCTTTCCATGCTGTTAAAATCTCTGCTTTCATAATTTCCAGCAAGCACTAGCTCTGGGAGTTGTGCAACACCTCTGGGATCTGCTCTGCTCCAGGGAATACTGATGATAAAGAGGAAATCAAGTGGACAATTCTGTAAGATTTGAGCCAGCAGGATCCCCTAGCTCATCACCAGGAAGTCACACTGCTGGGCAGGGCTGCTCACCTGTCTGGTTGTAATGCATCCAGTTCAGGATGACTTCTGGGGCTCTGTACCACCGTGTGACCACGTAGCCAGTCATCTCAGCATCAGCCTGTCTGGCCAAACCAAAATCCAAGATCTGCAGTGCCAAGGAAGTGCCAAAGGAAGAATAAGGAGAAGGGAGGGCAGGGGAGAAAAGAGAAATTCTATGGGCAAGTGAGACTCTACTTCTATGAGAAAATGGAGTAGTTACAATCAAATAATAACAAAGTTCCAACTATACCACAGATACCCATGGGATGGTTCAAAGAATTAATATGTCTTAATTCCACTGTAAATTGCAAGCCAGCTGCAAACCCCATTGTCATAAGAAGACCCTGCTGAAAGGATCAGTGCTTTGTGCTCCCTGGAAGGTCACTGCCTTTCTTGAAGCTTATGTCTTGAGTCAATGTGCTTTATTGGAGTTGGTCTGTGACCTGGTGGTGAAGGCATGCTCCCAGGTCACCACAACTCACCCTTTCCTATAAGAGCACCTTGCAGGTGACACAGCATGGCCTCTCCCTCAATGCTGAAGATGAACAAGCTTGACCCAACCTTTATGGGCAGCAGAGCCACTCCCTGAAATATACATTACAGAAAATGCATGCTAGAGCACCACACCAGCCAGCAGCAAGCAAACCCCTCAGAGCAAGCCTGAAAATTACTTTGTCTGGAATCACAACCACAATGTCCATGAGAACCAAAGGGCAACTGCAGTTGAATCCAGATACCTTTCAGATATTGCTCAGCAGTGCTGAATTTCTCAAGGAAGTCATTACACACTGCCAGCTATGAGGATTACAGTGACAGAAGGCTCATTTGAAGTCCTGTGTCCTGATTCAGCAAGTGACATCAGCAGGGGAGTATTTCCCACTGCTGCAGCTGCCAAGAACACAACACCCTGAATGGAGGCTGGGGAGGAAAGAGGAAACATGCAGTGCCAATTTCCTGCTGGCAGAGCAGTTCCTCCATGAGCTGATGTGCTGCTAAGTGCTGCTTTGCCACGTACCTTCAGCTGGCAGTCTTCATTCACAGCCAGGTTACTTGGCTTCAGGTCCTACAACGGACAGGAGCAGAAAAATGGGATGTTCAAGTTGCAATACATCAACACAAATCTCCTGTTGAACCTCCCACCACACCCCAGGTTCAGTATGAATTCAGCAAATGACTGAATAAATACCATGCCTGTTATATTGTACAGCTTTGGATTACCATTTGATTACCATTTGAAACAGTTTCAATTCAAAAAGCATCATAAAATGCTTCTCAACTCATCAGAAAATACAGCATTTTCTCAAAATGCTGCATAAATTAGCAAATCCAAACATATATATAGGGTATAGGATGGAAAAGAGAGCAGACAGGATGGAAAATTAGAGCAGACAGTGAAATGATGGTTAGGAGTTTATTAACTTTATACTGTGATTCTCAGACAAAAATCAGAATATAGCACATATGAACTTACCCTGTGGACAATGCCAGCTGAATGAATATACTGCAATAAAAAGAGGAGCCACAATGTAATCACCAGCACACAAAATTTTCTCTTCTCCAGCAGAGAAATGAGAGCTACAAACAAGAACTTTCTGCAAACAAACGTTTGCAGCCTTCTACAGGTCCCTGGTCCCTAGAGCAGCAGTTTGCAAAGGAATTTCTGCCCCAAACTACTGACAGTATTTACAATGCTATTCCCAGTCTAAAGAAGATGCACAGAGCAGAAGAGGAGGGATGAAGCAATAGTTCCCTAGAGCAGGTAAAACAACAGCTTCAAATTATCAAAGTCATCAAGGTTACAGCAGATGACATGAGAGCATGGTTACTTTGGGTGTTCAAAAAAATAATCTCACCCCAAAAACATAAAATTGTGAAAACTGACTACAGGTTTTTTAGCACACCGGTCAAACCTTCTGTGTGTTTTTCCCCACTTTATTTAAACTCAAGGAAGCAGTGACCTGATTTAGGTGAACCCATTGATGCCTGAAAGCCACTGCTGTGACTCCAGGTGAAGGATGTGAGAGGAGAGCTGGAAAGCTCTGTCTCTGCATCCCAGAGTTTGCAGTGATTGCTTTCAGCTCCCTCAAAGCCAGTTACAGAAACATATTCCTTCCTTATGCTCCTGAATAGAAAATCATTCCCTCTGTGTTCTCCCCTGAGAGCCTCTGTGACAGGTTTGGAGAAGCTCCTGCTGCTGCCAGTCTCTCCCTCTCGCAGCAGAGTTTTGCTGAGGGTTTGGGCAAGGCAAAGAGAGAAGCAAGTGCTGCCATGGAAAAACCATCCCAAGGCCTGTGGCTGCTGATTACTTCGATACCCAACTGACTGATGTGAGGAAACACTTGTTTTATTGGTGTGTGCTGCAACAGGAATGGCTCAACAACCAATACGTGTTCTGAGGGGATGCCATAAACTCCTCACATCCTCCTGTATTGGAGTAGTATTGGAGGGGAGTTTAGTTAGGCTCAGCCTAGAGGAGACACAGAGAGGAGACACAGGGAGTCACTAAGCTCCTCCAGACCCACCTACCTTCAGCCCTTTCAGCATTTGGTAGACCAGGTACTGGATCTTTTCGTCACTGAATTCATGTCCCATGATCTTTTGTAAATCTGTCCGCATGTATGGCATCACCAGGTAGCTAAAAGGCAGTAAGACAAGGCCCTGAGTCTGGAAGAAAAATGCAGGAGACCAGGCTAGCCTTGTTCTCACTTGGTTTGGTTTTTCTGGCTGTGTAACTCACTGTAAGGAAGATGAGTTGCTGTGACAGTGTTCCTGGCTAACTAGCACATCCTGCAGAGAAGCTGGAATTTCAACCTGTTCTGAAAATTGCTCTTTCTCCTCCCCTGAAATCAGATATCTGATGTCAAGTAAGAACAAGGATCTTCAGGATCCTGAAGTAGTTTAGACCTCAAGTGAAGTTCAATTTTGGACAGCTTTTCACCACCCAGGAGCTGAAACATCTTACACAGCAAAGCAGCTGCATTGGCCCCCAAATCTGTCATTGTAATGTTCTCCAGCCCTGGCTCAGAAGACAACATCCAACTTCCTTCAGTGCCTGCCTGCTGAGGCTGCTAATTAATTGATGGTCTTCCTGCAGGAACAGCTCTGAGAGCCTTCAACTGCTCTTCCTGCAGATGCTAACACTCAGCAGTCAGCCAAACCCCAAACCCAGGCACACTCTGCTCATCTGCAGTGATGGGGAAGGGAAAAGGACTTGTCCAACCTGACCATGAACACAGAGGGAAAATGCCAAAAAATTAATTAAGAGCCAGAATCAAGAGGAAAAGAAGGACAGATCTTTCAAATTTTAAGTTTAATTGCCCTGAGGCCTGATGAACAAGACTTCTCCCATTCTGAGTACAGCCCCTTAGCTCAGCAGTCACACAGTGCATGGATCACCCTCCCTGTGATGCACCATGGAATGTAACACATCCTCATTGCCCAGGTTGGTCTGTGCATGCTGTGGTGTCCCAGCTGTGAGCAGGGGTGGGGTCTGGTTACGTGTTCTGGGTGTGTCAGCCATGGGAGCTGATGTGTGCTCTGCACTGTTTGGGGATGCCTGGATTCAAGTCTGGTCTCTTTGTAGCTCAACCCTCTCTGTTACACTGCTGCTAAGACACAGCTGTCTTGGAAAAGTTAAGGCTACATAGAGCAAACAACTCTAGACTTACAAGTCCTGGAACCCCTGGTAGGAAGCAGTGGAGGTGAAGACATCAAGCAGCCCAATGACCTGAGGAAGGAGAGAAGCCCACATTTAAATCTTGAAAGCATTTTCTGTGCACATGGCACCCATCAGCTCTCCACTGGTACATGCACATGGGTGAACACAGAGAATTCTATCTGAGCAACCCATGGACTTCCCTCTGATGCTGCACAAATGGTTTCCCTCTTACTAATACCTGGGTTCACCCATTACACACCTGCTCCAGCCTGGGAACAGCAAACAGGTCACAGGTAAACCCTGAGACTGCCTGCACATACCAAATGTCAATTAAAACACATGTGATGCCACCAAAAAGACCTTGCTCCCAGGTGGCAAGGAAACACCCCTTGTGTCAGCAGGAAGAGGAGAAATCAGCACTCACATTCTCATGCTGCATGTGCTTCAACAGCATCAGCTCTCTGTAGGCTCTCTTGGCAAAGATCTCTGACTGGAATGGGCGGCACAGCTTCTTGATGGCCACTTTCTCCCCCGTCTTCTTGTCTATGGCTGAACTGCAGTGGGCAAAAAAAAAAACATTCTGATGTCAGCAGTATGTTTTAACAGATTCTGCAACCCCACAGGTGATGTCCTAGAGAAGAGTTAATTCCTGTGCTTGCAGAAGGACAGCAGAGAAAGGTCCTTTGAGGAGCTCAGCGGGGCTCTGAGATGTTGCCCTGTGTGGCTTTGGGCAGCAGACCACATCCTGAGGTGAGACACCAAGAAAAGCATCAGTGGCTCATCCTTATTCCCTTGAACCTGCAGAAATGAGCTGGAGGTAACAGAGCTGAGAGCAAAGGGAAACACAAATAAAGGTCAGAATTGGTTCTAAATCTGCCTTCTCCTTCCCTAATGCATGGAGATAAGGGAATAAAGATATGGAAATTTCTGCTTTGCCATCTGCTTGGAGGTTGTGTTTTAGGGCAGGCCAGCTGCCTTCACTGTATTCTGGAGCAACAACAGTGGATGTCATGTTGAAAATGCTGCTGCAATTAATCCTGCTGTGTTCAGAATCCTTGATTACACATCTGCTTCTGTGTAAGAGCAGGTCTGGCTGAAAGTGAGACTCTTCTATAAAGCTGATGAAAACCTGGTACAGCAGCCATTGCTACAGACATGCTGTGCTCTTCCAGCTGGTCACATTGGACATGGCAACCCTGTGACACTTCCTCTGGAGAATCCTTGCTCAGATTGCCAAGGAGGGAAGGGAGGTCCTCAGACAGACAGCTGTAATTCAGGGTTCCCAGTGGTGTTTTCCAGCCCCCTCTCAAGAGGCAAACAGATGAAAAAAAGAGTTTTCCTTGCTAAATCCGACTCTGAATTCCCAGAGTAGTTCCCACTGCTTCAGAAACCCCTATCCCATCTCCCACAGGAACGGAAGAGCTGTAAATCATCATGTTCAATCCCATGGCTTCCAGCTGCATCCTCCAGCCTTGCACTGACAAATATTGAGTCAGGAGAAGCAAAGGAAGTGCAGGAACAGTTACACAAGGCAGCTGAAGCACTGAAGATGCTTCAGGGTGTCCTAGGAGGACTCTTAGTGAGGTTTTGTCTCAGTTTCAGGACTTCAGCAGATGTCAGCAGAGTAAAATTTTACCACACAAAATTTTTTGAGAAGCCAGGAAAATAAAAGGAAGGGACTCAGACCAGGGAGTCAAACTGCAGAATCCAAGGCAGATTTCCTGATCTGAGGGTATCCCTCCCTCAGACCTAAGATCCCTGCTGACCTAAGAGCCTCTAACCCCTGCACCCAACACAGGAGAGCTGCTGGTGGAGCTTCAGCCTGCACAGCACAGACAGCACTGTGTATGGCCTTGCCATAATCACAGCCCAGAGCCGATTCAGTCCGTGCAGCTGGGAGAGCCCCCGGTGCTCTCCCAGCACAGATTTAGTGAACAGATGCAGTTTGGGGTGACCTCAGGCAGGCAGAGCTGTGTCCCTGCCTTGGCTGGCAGAGATCAGCAAGACCAGCGTTGGAGGGGCCAGGAGATTCTTCTTTCACAATCACGCTCAGCTGGAAGCCAAATCACTACAGATTTTGGCAAATTAATAAAGGCAGAAACAAGCCTTTGCTGTTTCTCATGAGATACCTTCTCAGCTGCTCAGGGTGTAAATGCCACTGCTGCATAACACTGCAATAGGAAATTTTCCCAGCAATTCCCAGCAGAGGACAGCAAATCCTAACTCCACATTTTCTGCCTCAGCTTTGTACAGAAATCAGCATCAAGTCCTCTGCTGAGCTCTGTCCATTCAAAACCACCACACATCCCCGGGCTGCTTCAACACCCTTCTCACTCTCCCTCCTTGGGAGCTCCAGAGCAGTCGAGAGTTTTACAGGGACCAGTAAAGATTTCTTTCGATGTTTGTTTTCTTTGGATGCGCAAGAAAACTTTGAAGGATTTCTCTCTTATTTATTTTTTTTATCCTGTCTTTATTTTTCTTCCTTTATTTTTCTCTGTGATAAAAATCAGAGAACACTGTACAAATATAAATTAAAAGTCAAGTCTAATCTTGCCTGATTTTGCAGGACTTAAGAATCTAAGAAGCATGAACACATCTGGGCAGCCAAGTGGGTGTCCCTCTGTAAATTGGAAGCTGGGGGAAAAGGACAAAACCTGGGTACCAGGGTTTCAGGATTAGTGCCAGTGGCCGGTGAGACTTTGCCCAATATTTATGAAAATGGACACACCTTTCTTTTTTTTTTTCCTTTTATTTTTAGCTCAGCATGTTATGAAATAAGGTCTCTGTTCAGATTCTATCAATGCACTGTTTCATATTTAACGTTTCAGAGTTGCCCATTTCTGGTTCATCAGTGTGAAGCCAGCAATGTTTGACTTGTGCTTGCTCTTGCTTCAGGCACCTCTACTCGGCTGAATAATTAACAGCAGCTCCTGCTGCTCTCTTGTAGGCTGGGGTTTATCAGCCATGAAGAAGTCCCAGTCTTACTGATCCTGTTTTGCGATAATTTCTATCCACTTTATGACTTCAAACTGGAAGCAATATCAAGGTGGGGGTTGTATTGCCCAGCTGCTTCCCCCAGGCAGCCCAGCATCAGCAATGACAGCCTGTTCCAGCTCCGACCTCTATAAACACCGACAGATCTCCTCCAGATACCCAGGTATTCCCCCGCCTCCTGCCTGTGCTACCAGACAGGAACCTCAACGAAAGCTCGAGTCCCAAGCAGCTCAAACTGCCCGGCCCCGGAGCCAAGGCGAAGCTCGGCTGCCCTGTCCGGTCCCCTCTCTGCCCACCCGGGCTGACCAAAGGGGGAAATTCTCCAAGCGAGCGAGTCCCCAGCCGTGCGCTGGAGCAGGAGACAGCCGGCCCCCATCACACATGCAAATGTCCTTCCTTAATGGAGGGGTGCAGCCCAGCCCCTCCTCGCCTCCCCCTGCACGGAACTCCAAATTCCCCCAGCCCGCGGGTGTGAGCAGGACCCCACTCACCACACGGAGCCGTAGGCCCCGGAGCCCAGCGGGTGGAGGGACGTGTATCTCCTGGGCAGCTCCCAGAGCGTGTTGTTCACCTCTTGTCTGTAAAAGCCTCTTCTCCTTGCGATGTTCATCGCCCGACGGGTGTGGGACAGCCACCCCCCCAGAGTAATGGAGTACGGGAGGGCTTCTGGGGTGAGAGCGGGACAAGGCTTCCTGCGCTGGTAAAAAACGCTCTAGCAAGTTTCCTTCTCTGTTTTCAGCTGTTGCGATCGTGAAGGGACATGTCTTTGGGCCCTCCTCCCTCCGCCTCCACATTGGCAGAGGTGAGGCATCAGGTTTCCTGACACGCCTCGGTGCTGTGCTGGTGCCTCTGGGCTGTGCTGCAGGAGGGGAGCACCGGCCCCGCTCGGGAACGCCTCTGTCATCCACAGCTCCGGCTCTGCTACTCCATCAGCCGAGAAATATCCTCACGGGGCTCGGACAGGGGCTCGTGAAATACCTGCTCCAAACAAGAGGATGAGTAAGAATTCGTCGAGTCGGGGAATTCGAGGTACAAGCCACAGCATCGCGTCAGACACGCAGGGACATCCTCGTTTCAAAGCCCGTGGACAGACAGCTCCAGGACACCACGGGGTCACAGCGATAGCGATTTTCTCCTAAGCCCGGCTTCCCAGCAGCGTAGGGAGGTGCTGAAAGTCGGCTGAGGTTCTCCAAGTGACTGCTGCGAGGGGTTTCAGGAGCAGCTGTGAGATGGGAACGTCCCGAGATCGGTTCGTGCCCCAGGCTTTGCTGGGCGCGGTTTCACGTCCTGCAGCCGCTTTCAGCCCTTCGTGGCTCTTCTTGGACAAAGCCAAGCCCGTACTCAGTGCCCTATCTGTGCCCAGCCAGCCCAGAACTCCCAGCCATTCCTGATGAGCAGAGAGCACCTCAGCATTTCGCTGCAGCATGAGGAGGCTCAGGTGGGGCTCCCACACAGGAGATGCATCCTCCCCACCCACTCCCCAAAGGAAGTGACTAAGCCGAGCCTTACCAAGCCAGCCTAGCTGCTTGCACAGTGTCCTAGCCCAGCAGCCCTCCACCCTGGCCAGAGCCTCTGCTCCTTCCACACAGGTCACCTGTAAAGGTGTCCCGACAGGAAAAGCACAATCAGCAGGGCAGGGAAAATTCACTGCGTGTGCTTTCTGCGCAACCATGGCATTGCCCCTCATGCTCCTCAAGCAGCCCCATCAGAGCCTGCTGTTCATAAACACAAACAGGGACAAGGCACTATGGCAGTGTCTCTGTCCATCAGCCCTGGCTGCAGTGGCAGCACAGCCCGAAAATAACCCACGGCTTGCCTGGCTCTGTAAATAAACCTGTGATCAAGAGGTGTCACAGCAAAAAGCTCCTGGTGCTTAAGCAAACGTGTAACTTCTCGGTTATTTGATGAACACAAGCCTTGCTCAACTGCTGGTGCACACGCAGGAAATCAGCTCCCAATTAGGGAGTCCTGAATAGCTGGGGCATGTCTGGTCTGTACCGAGATGAGTTAAGTTCAGTGACTAAATCAAGCAGGAAACTTTAGAATCACGGAAAGCTTTAGGTTGGAAAAGATCTTCAAGGTCAAGTCTAACTGTGAGCCCAACTCTGCTAAGTCCACAAAAAAAAGTGGTGGGATCATGCAAAAATCCTTCTCCAGGCACTCTTTACAGTGCAGCTGGGGGTGAAAATCAGGGTTACAATTTTGTCCATGCTTCCCTTCTAGTAATAAACATTTCATCATGGGCCTACCCAAACTCCCTCCGTATTGTTCCCACCTGTGATGGCCCCATCACTGACTGGAGCACAGATGGACAATAATTTGCAAGTGTTGCACACTGACTGTTAAGCTTCATGAGTTAAGTAATTTGATTTTATAGATGTAGTTTATTTTTTCCCCCCACTTCAGTTCTCACTGATTCTAGTTTTTTTGCTGATCAGGATATTGTAACAGCACATTCTGGAATTGTAAGTCTTCGCTGCAAGAGATTGGTTTTCTCCCAGAAAACAACACACAACTGGTCCTGTTTGGGTTTTTTTCCCCCCCTCTCCTCCAGCTAGCAGACAGAAAAAGTGAACAGGAAGGCTCATGGAGCTGAGAGAACACCCCCAGCACTGTTCTTTATCCTTCCTCAAATCAGTTGCTGTGGGAGCAGGGATCAGCACCACCTCCCTTTGTTCATCAGGGCCTAGAACTTCAGTGATTGTGGGCTGTGAGTGAAGAACAGCTCTGGTCAAGCCAAGTTCTTCTGAGGGAGTGACACTGATACACAAGAGAAGCTCAAAAAGCTCCACTGTGGTGATCCTTCCACCACCACTGAGATGGCAGCTGAAGAGGAAAAAAGAAATAATTTTTAAACAACAAACAAGCACAACCCAGTCCTACTGCGGGAGGGTCCCAGCTCCAGGGAAGCAGCAGGACTGCCCTGTTAGTGTTGAATTAGTGCTGCCCTGCACTAAACAGAAAATAAAAGCTTGGGGGGGTGGTTTCTGTGTCCAGTACTCATGATCTAACTCCAGATATTTTTGTAGCAAAAAATTCTCTTGGGACAAACATGGACAAGAAGCCCCAAGGCAGCAGAGTCAGCCAGCAAGGAATGGCCTTGTCCCTTCCCAGCCCTCACACCCAGGATCCAGCACAGCAGAGAAATTCACACCATGCTAAAACTCAGCACTTCAGTGCAAGAGGTTTCCAAGTACCAGCAGTGCAGTAAATCTGAAAAATAGAGTTTATTTTTAACCAGTGGTATTGTGACATCTTATCTGGCATAACCAATTACAGCAAAATCCATGGATAGAAACAAAATAGCAGATCTCTGCTTTTGGGTGCAGTGTCCTGCCCAGGCAGCTGAGCACAGCACGGCACTGGCAGCAGGGAGTTTTTGCCCCAGGGGCTCCCTCAGGACAGACTCCAGTGAACCATTCCCACTCACACACACAGACACACCCACACACACAACACCGACACTTTTTAAAAATCTTTAGCAATATTTCCACATGAAATCACACTGTAGCATCTACACATAAAATGGCTGATAAAAATAATCTTGCTGTAGGTTTACATAGTATATCTACATTTTCATTTGAATACCCAGACTGCTGGCCCATCAGAAAAGGGAGGTTTTTTTGTCTTGATTTTGTAGGGCTGTGGAGAGTTTTATCCTAGAGCACAACAGAGCTGCTCTCTTCGTCTCAGCCCAGACCTTTATTGAACATTTGGCCTGAGGAGATCTCTGGGAAGTAGCCTGGGAAGAATCAATGGCTTTGTCATCCACGTCCCATCCCTTTGTGCTGCCTCTTCAAACATGGGACAAAAACACTATAAAAACACTCTGTGCCCCACAGGTAACAAGAATACAAAATACCGCAAAAGCCTTTCTCCTCACATACATGGGTACACTGCCCACACAGGATGCCTGCAACAAATTAAGGTCTAAAAATGTTTCCTCAAACATTTGCCCTCAAACTGGGCTCCTGAGCTCCCCAGCTACAGATGGAGCACACAAACATGTGGAGAAACCTCCCTCCTGTCAGTCTCTAACTCTGGGCACTTCACTCATGCAGAGTCCTGGAAAATACAAAATATTTGAACCATGTTTGTATTCAAACATACTCCCTTGTCAGTTTCCTAGGGCAGAGATCAACCTGCTAAGAAATAGCCAAGAAGCTCTTATGTGAGAGGATAAAAAAACCTTCTAGTAAATGTTAGTTTCATGTATATAAATATTTGTATTTATAGATATAGACAGTGAAAGGGTGATTGGGTGTTTATGCATGCTTATTTCTTTGCTTTGGGTTCCAATACTTCCAAAAAGAAAAATCAGGAAATAAGTTCTGGTACAAGATACCATAGTCATTTCTTTAAGAACATTTTTTACACTTGATCTCACAAGAAACCTTTCAGCCCAAGCTCTCCTCCTCTGCAGAGAGGTGGTCAGAACAAAGAAAAAGGTGCATGTTTCTCTGTTGTTGGACATGACATCCTTCCCTCGTTGAAGCCTCTAGGATGGCAGGTATTTCACAAGGAGCTGCAGCACAGGAGGAAGGATGCTGTGATTTTATGGCACTGCCTGAGGTACTCAGTAAACATTTCACTGTTGACTGAACTGCCCCCAGTGCCATCCCCAAAAAGTAAGGACAAAAATCAAGCAGCTCTACATGCACATACAGCTACAACATGCAAAAACACACCACCTTGTAGGGAACAGAATACACAAACGTGTGGCTAGCAAGAATCTTCCCCAACCTCTGGCTCCTGGGAGATAATGCTGAGAAGCCTCAGAACAAGAGGAGGAAGAAGGGGAAAAACACAGGAATACACAATCCAGGGGTTGAAGCTGTTGCCTCAAAGTTATTTCCCAATTACATTGAGTTCGTGCCTGGCTACCTGGGAGCCTTCACCCTCAAGAACAGTGGGTCAGATTTCTACCCCAGACTTCTTTTCCCCTCCCTGCCCATTCATTTAAGGCACAAACATATTTACAGTTTCAAACAACATCTTTTTGTGTTCCAAGGATCAGACACTGGAAGGCCTCTACACTGCTGTACCAGGAAGATCTGGATGTAAATCAGACACCTGCTATTGAACAAGGACATCCCTCAACCCCATCTTCAGTCCTGAAGAAAAACAAGGAATCTCTAAGCTTATAAACCAACTTTCATTCTTTTTGAGGTTACTGAGTTGTAGGAGAATTGATAAATGGCAAAGATTGCAACCAAACCTTTAACTGTCACCTTCCTACCTCACCCCAGCAGTGCAGACTGGTGGTGGACTGTTACTCTGGAAGAACTAAGTGCAGTCAGAACAGGTCTCCAGAGGCTTGCCCCAGGCTGTACACAGAATACAAGAGCATGCAGCATGTTTACATAGACTCAGCTTCCTTCCCTCCCCCCTCCCTCCCCAGTTCAACACACACAAAACCCCTCCACTAAGGAGAATATTGTTGTGATGAGGCACTTGAATGATAATTGGAGAGTCCCTATGAAAAGGCCTTCCCTTCACAGTGAAGTGGGACAAAGAGAAGAGAGCAGTTTCTCAGGACTCCATCTCCTCTTGGTCAAGCGGCGGTGGCACAAAGCTGATTACTTCATCGTAAGTCAGGCCTGGGGGGAGAAGTGGGACAGAAACTTAGCATCAGGACTGTTATAGCACCACCAGACACCTCTTCATGCAAGAAAACCTGAAACAATCTCCAATATTCTAACACTATTTTAAACAAAAAGTATTGCTTAATTAAGACAAAGAAGAGAAGAACGCTTACACCGCTCTCAGAGACCAACATACACAATAAATGATACTTCCAGGGCATTGAGAGATGTGAGTAGTTTGAACACAAAGATACGTTTGTGTGCTCCTAGTAGTAATTAGTTACCAGGACTATGCTAAATATTGCACAGCATGTGGAAGATTCACTCAGTGGAACAACAGGATCAACAGCATGCCCACGTTTTTATCACTTTCTTCTGTGCCTCTAACCATGGCTTAGTTGAACCTCAGCTCATAAGATGGCGAAAGGACTGAGGGGAGACTCACCAACATCTGAGAGTGGCAGCTCCAATCTCTGCTCTCTGTGAGCAGTGACAGGACACAAGGGAGTGGCTGGAGCGGTAGCAGGTCTGTTTAGGATGGATCTCAGGGAAGTTTCTTCCCCCAGAGGGTGCTGGGCACTGCCCAGGCTCCCCAGGGAATGGGCACAGGCCTGAGGCTGCCAGAGCTCCAGGAGCATTTGGACAATGCTCTCAAGGATGAAGAGGGTGGGATTCTGGGGCTGTGAAGGATCCCTGTGAAGGGCCAGGAGCTGGACTCACGATCCCTGTGGGTCCCTTCCAACCCAGGATATCCCATGATTCTACAAACACAAGAGAGGCTGACTGTCTCTCGCTCCCCTCCCCCAGACTCACTTTTCCATTCTTCAATCTCAAGTTCCCTGCTTTCAAAGGACTGGTCATAGGGGTCTGCCACGGGCTCATCATCGGGGTCATGGTACTGGGCAAAGTAGGCATGGGCCAGCGCCTCTGCAGCCGTGATGCGTTTATCCGTGTCCAGGACCAGCATCTTCTCCAGCAAGTCCACGGCTGCAAGAGCACCAGACAGAGAGGGTTTCTCACATGAGCTGTGTGACTCTATTCTGAAATGTAAAGCTCCTAAAAGCCCAACATAGATGGGGAATCTGTAGTTTCTCAGGACCCACCCATCATCTAGCATTTTCTTCCTCTTACACCCTTGGCCCACACATCCTTCATAAACATAACCCTGTTCTACTCCTGCAGGCAGAACAAAACTTTGGGTATCTCTGTGTCCCAACACATGCTACCTTCAGTTTCAGGAAAATTTAATAAACAAGTCTTACCCAGGGGATTGGCACCAATAAACACGTTTTCAAAGTTCATTTTTGGCATGTAAGACAAAGACTGGATGTAGTTTCTTGCCTGTGGAAATAAATGTTCTGTTGAAGTATCAGACAATCATCCAGCCAGCAAGACCAAGTACTTTTCAACCATCCTGAAGCACTGGTTATTATGGTCTGTCTCCTTGCTTATTCTGACACTTACTAAGCACATCAGCATTATCCTGCCCCAGCTAAGGCACTCATGACAGTAGAGGAAGAGCTGACATTACTTGAGGTAAAGACTAGAAAGCAGAGAGGTGCAGGAAGTGCTGACTCCCTGGTGTCCCAGCAAGGCTGGGTGCAGCCTGCTGTCCTGTGCTGACCTGCACAACACAGCACACAACGCAAAACCAGCTCACAGCTGAGTCTCACACATCTGTGGTTGAGCACGCGCTGTCCAAATCTTCATTTAGTACAAAAATCTCGCAGAAGAGCAGGTAGTTAATTGCCCACCCCATGCCACATGCAAGCATTTAATTCATACTCTGAGTGAAGCCCTGCCCTGCAAACCCCCTTCCTCTGCTCAGATCTCACCTCGTGGCTGGGCATCCTGTTAATGAGATATGCAGGGGGCGTTCCCGTCAGACGCATGATCTG